GTTCAGGTCCCATAGCCTCTCCTCATAGGGCCTGCCCTGCTGCCCCCTGATCATACGAGTGGCCCTCCTCTGGACCGTCCATGCTATCCACATCCCTCTTGAAGTGCGGCACCCACAACTGGAGGCAGTACTCCAGCTGCGGCCTGACCAGTGCCGCACAGAGGGGGAGGATCACCTCCTTGGACCTGCTCGAGATACATCTGTGGATGCATGACAAGGTGCAGTTGGCCTTCCTGACTGCATCCCCACACTGCCGGCCCATGTTCATCTTGGAGTCAATGATGACTCTAAGATCCTTTTCTGCCTCTGTACTGACGAGAAGGGAGTTCCCCAGCCTGTAGACATGGTGCTGGTTCTTCCTCCCCAGGTGCATCATTGTGGAGTGGGGGCCCAGTGCAAGGTTTAAATAGTTTTGTATAACTCTGCATGATTTTTCACCCATAATTGTATTAGTACAACCCCTAGTGTGAATAAAGTGAGTTATATGCAGGGCTCCTGGTTTTGTTTAAGTCACAAACTCTCCAATTAAAACACACACACACTCTGATTAAAACCCCCCAAATCTGCATTTTTCTGAATTTAAAATGAAACACCACTATATGTATATGTATGTATCAGTTGAATATGGGGTTTTATTGATATATTTACCATTTTAAAGCAATTTGGAAACCTACCAGTGCCTCACAATCACTATAATAAATTCCAAATATCTATACGTTTTGGCATTTGATTTAGGGTTTTTATCATGGAAAATCAGAGCTCCCCCTGCCCTCTGAGCTCACCAGGATGCAAGTCCAGCTGCAGCTGCTCCCCCTACCACTGCTTTGTGGCCCTGAGCAGCCCTGATATGCCAGTGCCCTGCCCATGCCATTGCCCCTCACTCACAACCCATGCTCCCCCCGGGCCTGCTGATGCCCCTCACTCCCCGCCCCGCCATCGGGTGCTCCTCACTCTCAACCCACAGCTCCCTGGCCGTGCCAGTGCCCTTCTCTCCCCAACCCACAGTCCCCCCTCCCCTACCCCTGCTGGTGCCCATCACTCATGGCCCACACCCCTCTGCCCCACCTAGCTGGCAGACAGGGGCCCCAGCTGCCAGGGCTATGGGGCCAGGGACCCAGATCCGCAGCCTCCTGCCCCCCACCAGCAGTGCCCAAGCCCTGGCTGCTGCCGATGGGAGGTGGT